TTTTCTATTGGCTCTCTAGTGTGTGTGTGTGTGTGTGTGTGTGTGTGTGTGTGTGTGTGTGTGTGTTTTATTGCGCTTTAATTCAAAAGCAAAATGCACATAATTACAAAAACAAAAACTGAGTAGGCTATTTTGTCAATAAATGCTGGCATACTAGTGGAAAGACTTAAAAATGCCAGAATATTTTTTTTCGACAGGTCTGCGCACCTTACAAGTTATGCATGGAGTGAAAAGAACAGCTCTGAAAGGTAATTTCTTGTATTGAAATTGATAGGCCTTGCACACTGAATGCATGATTGTGAAGCCTAGTTTGACGATATAACATAATTCAGTTGACATTTCTATTGCAATGCTCTTCGAAAAAGCTGTTCATGGGCGTCAGTTACATTTCATAACATCTTTTCAAAAGCCATCCACGTAATTATTGCTTATCCGACACATTTTTGAAGGATGGATAAAATAAATAGTCGAATAAAGCTCAATGCGCTTTTGTCTTCTACGTCACCGGCAACTTTTGAACTTTTTCTCTTTTAATTTTTACACCGAAGAAAAATCACTTTGGGGACTAAATTGATGGTATGCTATTGATCAAGTCTTAGTGCTTTTGATAGCCTGTACAAATGAACGATCTACTAATTTCAAGAGAGTTACAGATAAATTGAAATAATACGCTATAGGCTAACCTGTAAACATGAAAGGTAGCCTATAGGGCCTAAATGGTGAGACCTGTGAATTTAACGAACTGATCATTTATTATTATTATTGTTGTTGTTGTTTCTTGGGCTTGTATTAATATCTCGTAGGCTATTCCTTTATACGTGTTTAGGTTGTAGGCCCGCAAAGAGATGCAAATGTTTACGCTACACAAAGCGGGTTGATTTTGATCGTGTGAAATTAATGGCGGGATTTTAATGTTTTCGTCATACAGACAAACCTTGCCGTGAGCTTGTCAGTCTTTGTTCACGGGAGACTATAGAAATATCAATAACTGCAGGTGCTTTCATGGACCACGATGGAAGGCTCTCGATGTCGTTGTAAGAATGACATCGAAAAATGTAGTAAATATGCAGTAACGTCCTGTAGAGTCATTTTACGGAGAAAAAAAGTAGGCTAATTAGCATAGTAGACAAGCGAGACAATTACCATGCTCTTCATTTCTGCGAACGTCCAGGAACTGGCGGAAAGTGCATTTTGTAAAAAATACCAGTGGGTGTCGCACTATCCTTACACTTCCCTGCGCAGCTCGAATTAGCACTCTGACCCCCTTCGAAGAGCAGCAGATCTTCAGTGTGTTCCAGTTTTGTGTTCTTCAGATCAAAAATCATAATGTAAAATATCTAAATTGATTTTAATAGCCTGTACAGCAAATACACAAAAGTCAGACGAGGCTACTGACAAAATTTCGTTTGTTCCCGTTATCTTAACAAATGTGTGCTTTATTTCTTTTCACCAAACGATTACTTCATATAAAATCGAAATGTAGTGGCTTGATAATTTGTGGACGAAAAAAAAAAGGAAGTTAAAGGAAAAGTCCGGAGTACACGGCAGCTATTTGGAGCCCAAAAGTGTAGGCTACCAAACGCGCGCTAACAAATATTTAAAATGTAGCTCATAATGTAGCCAATTTCGAAGCATTTACCGCACGGAAGAGCAGACGAGTAAAAACTGATCAGTGATGCCATTCGAAGCGGGTGAACTGAGTGAGTGACCTTAACTCCACTGGCGAGAAATAGCCTCTTACGAAATGATAGCATAATTGTTCATGTAGGCTATGTCTGTCATACGCAGGAAGATCCAGAATTATTACTGGAATCAAGAAATCACTTGAATATTTGAGCAAGGGTTGTGGCAGGATTATAGAAACAAAACAAGTGTAGGCTATTTGAATTCGACAGTCCGGAGTCCACTACAGTGTGTTTGCTATTAATTTAAACACAAGCAAAATAGACCGTCATAATAATAATAATAATAATAATATAGGCCTTTATATAGCTATTCGGGTTTGTAATAATAATAATAATTATTATTATTAATTAATTAATTAAATAATCCATAACTCTCTTCTTGTTAACAAAAGAAAAAGCTAAAGGAAAGGATATTATCTAAAACGAATTCCTGTTTTATGCAATGCAGTATGAATAATGTACACCACTTATATTGTCATGCTGCGTTCGTACGTTAAACCAATAGGCCTAGCTCTTCATTATTCATTCATTTTAACAAATATGGGGTGTTGAGAGCTATAAGCAAAATTATTCAAGTGAATAATGAACGTAATAAATGTGGACCTATTTTGTAAACATTAATTGTTTTCCCCTCATATTGCACATATGCGTTCACTGCAGTTCCATAAAACACACTTGCATTTTAAAATTAGCCTACATCAAATGCGAGTTTGTCTCATGGACAAATTCAGAATAATAGTTGTATTTATTTATTTTTTACTATTATATCCATCGTTAGAAATGTTGCTAATATTTATGCAGTTTCTATTTTTTATGTGTAGCCATATGGCCGACAAAATTGCCTCCATTTGCAACCCATAATTACGTGGTGAATGTTAAGCAATTGTAGTGCTGTATGAGATTTATCTGAAAGTGAGTAGAAGTAAAAATAATATAAAACGTCATTAAAATGTCACCGAACTACCTCAGACCCCGCAAAACAGAGTTTAAAACCCAAGAGATCGCGTTGACAACTGTGCATACCGGAACTTTTGAGATGCAGTAGGCTATGCACATTAGTAACCCATAATGGGATTGAACTCAGCTAATTTAATGAGTAGTTAGAGGGTAATAGACTCTTGTAGTCATACGACAAACAAACAGAGCTGAAAATATTGTCTGTCTAATAAACCTCATCCTTCTCCTGGCCAATAGAGAAAGAGAGTCTCTCATCCCAAACTAATCACAAACCCATCGGAGAAAATGAAAACGCGGAGAGACAATATAGAGGTGGGCGTTATACGGGCCCACCGAACTGCCAGAAAGTAGAACCTTCAAAAAGTTTGCTATACACAAAGATTGTCATTTGAACTGATTGTTTCCTGACAGAATTTCATTGATTACAGTCATTTGTTTAAACTACACTCTGCATTTCTACTTTTGTAGTCGAGTAGTACAAATCAGCATGTGTAGTTTACATCTAAACGTGCACTGGTTAAGCACTGAGGTGCGAGTAAAAGCGTCGTTATGTGTGCAACACAAATTCATGCTGAAGTACCTCGAGTCTCTCAATGGGATCAGCTGCGTATGTAAATTGCTCCACAGCTCTGTTTCTGAGCGAATCCGTTCCGTTTTGCTTGAATCCGCCTCTCCGCGCTCGTTCGTATTGACGCACTTAAAGACTCTTCCCT